TTAACAAATTAATTTATTTCATACATTATTGATTTTAGCATGATAATTTTAACATGATGATTTTAGCTACGTTATATTGTGTTTATATACATACATACATACACGCACATAGTTGTTATAATTATTATTCGGTACTGTATATTATCCATCACGATTTCGGTTAGTAAAACATAAAAATGTACAACAAAAAAAAGAAAGAGAAAAAGTGTGAGAGGAAGCTGTGAGAGAATGAAATGAAGTATCTTATTGCAAAGAACAGTACTATGGTTTCTATATTATTTTAGTTTAATGTCGTGTAATCCTTGACAGGCATGTAATTCGGAATGTAGATGTTTAATTGTGAAGTTTTTAGTCGAAATCGTGTGCTTGGCAAAGTAGTTTGAAGGCTTAGTATCAATCCAATAATAATTGCTTGTCTAGATTACGAATAAGTACTTTGACAACAATATTACACTGTATGAAATAACTAAAAATATTTGAAAATGTTCTTTAACTTCCTATTTATAACTTTACATTTAGCTTATATGATTTCAAGAATAGTTTATTTAACTACATTAAATTATTTGAAATTAACTTTATAAAATTGAATAATAATTTAAGTATATTGGTATTTTTATTTATCATGTAATTTTTATAAAGCCAATGTTATAAATTATTAATGCAACGTAAAACACTACTGGACTATTATACTGAAACATTTTGTGAGAATAACGAATTTTTATTATAAATAAACTTTAATATCAGTAAATTTATTTTTCATATAAAATTATAGAATGCTTTAGTTTTATGCATGTACACGTAATGGTAACTTTGAAATATAATTATTATTATTTTAAAATTATTATTTTCACGTAATGATAATTTTGAAATACTATTATCAATATTTCAAAATTATTAAATGTTTAGTAATAATTATAATTTAATTATAAGTAAATATATATCTATATATATATGCCAAATTACTATTTTCATATAATTATTTTTCAAAAATTAATTTAATTAATATAAAAAGAAATATATAGGGTTATGATATAGTAAAGATTGTAATAAATTTATATAAAATTTACTAATATAAGATTTGTTTTAATGATACTATAGATATTCAATGAAATTTATTGCTAAATATTATATTCAAATTCCATAATAAATACAACTTTGTCTGTATATAAGAAAATTAAAGAAGATATAAATTAATTTTTAATGAGTAATTTCAGTTTATATAGATAATTTAGGTATTCTAAATTCAATAATTACATTTAACTTCATTTTATTTTAGAATAAATTAACAGTATGATTAATTAGATTATAAAATACTTAAAAAATTTAGAAAAGTTATTATCGAAAATTCATTTATTACAATCTTTTTTATAATACTATTATATAATACGATTTTAAAAAATGGATTCTAAATTTATTTTCATTTGGATTTATACTTAATATATTATATGTAAAATATTTTGATACATATAATAGTTACATGAAAAGTTTGATTTTACTATTTAAAGAAAAATTTCATTATTCTTTTTTATTTTTATATTGGATTTTTAGTAAATGAAGAGTAATTGGAGAAGTTAAAAAAAAAGTTTAGTTCAATAATTACCAATATTTAAGGTAAACATAAACTTTTAAAAATATAGTCATAATTTTGATATGACTCACTTAAATATATTTTAGATCTACTTTAATATCACTTAATACCAATATAAATATATTTATAAGCACAAAAATTAATCTATGCTTATGCTCTTTCAAAATCCACGTAACTTTTATTTCAAGGTATATAAATTATGAATAATGGTTAATAAAAAACAGTATTAATAAATTATTATTATATTAATATTAAAATAGTAAAGTAATTATATTGAACATCTAACTATATTATACATAACTTACTATATAGTATATGTATAAGTATAGATATATACTTATGTTGTTATATAAATGTAATTCATTAACTTCAAATTATTTTGACAAAAGATATGAAATCAAGAAGCTTCAAAGCTTGTTATTTATGAATGATAGTTGTTTTCTTTGTAACTTAGATACATATCATTATTTCCTAATCAATATTAGTAAAATAATACGTAGTCGTGATTATTATATTAAAGTTGATTTTTAGGTTGGTAATTTATCTAGAAAATAAACGAGCTTTACTTATATAAACCTTTTAAATGTATTTCTAATTCTTTAGATAAAAGATGTATAAGTCGTGTAATTCAGAATTTGATTATTACCAAATTTGTAAAAGATAATAAAGTGTTCCGATAAATAAAATTAGAATAATTTAAAATAATATTTCATTTAATTTATATATTTTGTAATTGTATGATCAATGATATAACAATTATGTTATTTTTATTTATAAATTATGAGAATTCTAGACATATGAGTTTATCTCAAATTCATAATAATTGTCAATATCGTCTGAATTTTCGTAGAAATTCAAGAAATATGAGATGATACAATATTAAATTTAAATGAAAGTTTTGAAAATTGAAAAGTAACATATCAAATTGTCATTTAGTAGCATTTATCATCATATTATGATCATTTTCGTGTATATTTTATAATATATCTCAGATGTAATATATATCAATTTTCTTGATGTCACTTATATTATCGAAACTTTGTTACACATCCAAAAGCGTACTCTAATATGTATCAATTTTATTATATCATAAGATGCTTGAAATGTAATTAAATAAAAATTCTAGACCAATCATCACTCCAAAGGAGAAATTAAAACTTGCCATTTAGAAAAAGTTGATTAAAATTGATTAAATTACACCAGTGTTAGGTAATAAATTATATTACTTTAAGGCAACATAGCAGAATGCAAATACAATTTTTTAGTTCAATTAACATATAATAATATATAGATTATTAGAAAATACTGAAACAGTTACTAATCCAATTTTTTTTTATTTAAGAATAAAAATTGTAGAAACTGTAATACCACAATTCACCTAGCAGTGATATATCATATAAGACGCAATATTTAACGTTAGACTTTTATTATGTAGCAGTCGATTTGACAGAATGAGATAAACCCTACGTAGTCAACGTTGTAGTAGTAACCCCAGTAATGCGGCTTACCAAATCTACCAAGCATAGAGAGAGAAAGAGAACCGTGACAACGCTAATGCGTAAAATCAGGCACATATACCTATGGCTTCTATCTGGGGTACTTTAGTAAGGTGCTTGTTCTGCTTACTCTGGTTCAACTAGGTACATAGGTACTTTGTATAGTGCAAAGCTATTATGCTACGTATTAGGTATAATATAATACAACGTTTGCAATAATAGACACACGTACTTGTTTCATACTAGATGGTAGTTTGTAAATATGATAAATTTAAAGAACTTTATGTGATCTCTGTTATTACTTTTAATTGTAACGAAAATTTCTCTTTATAATCCTTATGTACTGATATTATTTAAAATTTGTTTGTGTTTAGTCTGCCCGTTTTTGGTACTGTTACAATTTCTTTTTTTCAAATTTTATAACTTCGTAATTATAATATTTACTTAATTTATATTAATTGTTAATCAGTAGTAGTATTTATACTCAACAGTTCCGATTATATACAATTAATCAAAATTTATCAAAATTAGAATATATTATATCTGATATATTATTTTTACAATTATGAATTGAAAGTATATTTCCGAATCCAAAGAAGGAAAAGACGCTTTTAACTTATAATATAATCAAATTAATGACATAATATTAATATCTCATCATTTTTATATTTAATACATAAAAATGATAGTATAATAATAGGTCTTAAAACATTGTTGTTTTAATAAAATTATATATTTATTATATTATAAATCATTTATAAATGACTTCAATATTTAAACGGAACTTTTAATTACTTCTGTTACTTTTAAATAATTTTATGATTATTAGATTACAATTCTTATTTCATAAAATATATTATAATTCATATATTTCATATATAATTTTTAATAAAATACAAAAGATATATATAGTATATTGGTTATTTATATATTTACTAGATATATATATATTATATGGTTAATTAAATACTATTAAATATTAAAGAACAATTAACTATTAAATAATTGTTAACACAATGAGTTACAATTTTTTTTTTAACTCAATATCATAAATAAAACTTTTTTATGAATATTCAATAAAAGTAATATGAAAATCATCATATGGTACTTGTTCAAACATCAGTTTTTTATGCTTTTTTAATTAATAAATATTAATTAATTAATTAATTATTAATTAATTAATTAATAAATATTAATTAATTAATTAATTATTAATTAATAAATTTAATTAATAAAATTAATAAATTATAAAATTTTATTAATAAATAATTAAAAAATATTGTAGCACTATATTTTTTATGTTCAAAATTTTAACTTTTTCAAAATAAATATAATAAAAAAAATATAAAATAAAATCTTTAATTTAATATTTGACATTATAATTATTACCTATAAAGGTATATCCTAGTGTCAACAATAGTATACGAAAATTGTATCTTATCTTTTCCATTATTCTCGATATATCGCTTCAGAAAAACTACACTAATAGTCGATCTTCCCTATATTAGCTAACAAATTGAATAACATAAATTCGTAATTCTCTTGGATATTAAAATTAAGAAAAATTGTTTACAGTAGAATAGTTGAAACAGCTAAATATATTTGAAATAAAAATGAGGTATAGAAATTTCAAAATTATAATTTTCTGTATAAATTTTAAGAGAAAATCATCAACTATTAGAAAGGGAAAAATATCTAGTATTTCAAATTCTATTTTGTCTATAAACTTATGGACTACCAATAAAAACTTAAACTATAAAACTTTAAATTTCAAAATATCAGTTTTGAGGACGTTTAAACTTTCATTGTATCTGCTATTAACATAAAAATTTATCTTTTCAAACTATCATAACAATTTTACGTAGACAAACAAGACAATAATTAAAGACGAATAAATAAAATAAACGCAGACTTACTGGCAGGGAGGACATTAAATATACATGGACTCTTTTGCCTGCCGACGCTATTGCTAGCCCAACAAGCCAGTGTTCCAAAATCTGTATCACTTTTAGGTGTGTACTCAAGTAAACTAACTAAAAATCGTGGATTGGATACGGCAAAGACGTCTCCTAAACTGCTGTTTCGTGTCCATGAAAATCTGATATTATCCAGGGGATCCGCATCAATTTCACAATTCAGCATCATGCTCTTGCCAAAACCAGTTATGACGTCTTGTTTATCCTGTCCCGGCTTACATCTTGGAGCATCTTAATCATAATATTCAACAAATTATATATCTAGTACATTACACTAACTATATATAATACTAATAGTTATATTTAAATAAATAATTTAATTAATATATATATATAATTAAAATATAATTATATATGAAATAAATCCAACTATTAACCGACCAAGGTTAATTCATAATATAAATACTGATAGTATTTAAAAACTATTTAATATTTTAAAACAAAAACATTGATGATAAATAAATAAAAATACTTATTTATGGAGCACCTCTTCAATTAAATACAAGTAGTGTAGACGTCAATTAAATACAGTAAGTAAATATGCTCAATTGTTTTTATTGATAAGCTTAAATAAGAAACAAATTTATACTTACAAATAAAACTTTTCATTTGTAAGTAGATTTTTTATTTTTTATTTTTGATCATTAAATTTTTTCTTCATTACTTTTTTGGCGGAAAATCTAATATGGGATATTGTTACTAGATTGAAGGATCTTTTAAAATTTTACAACAGTGTTCTAAAGCTTATCAAACTTACATTTCATATGAATGGTAAGCGGCGGACTTTGAACTTCGCCTACTGTATTTCTTACTAAGCAAGAATAAGTTCCATTGTGTGAGAGCATCAGTATCCTGAGTGTCAGAGAGCTAGAAGCAACAAGAATACCAGCTTCGACGTTGTGATGTAGTCGCTTGTTCTGTAAAGAATTAATATGCCCATAATAAATTAGTAATCTCAGCGGTAATACAAATTCGTAAAGTTTGAATTGTATATCTACGTAGCATGGCAAAGTTGAATTATTACATAACTAAATGAATAGAATTTTGTTTGACATATCGATTAATTCTATTTATGTATTCATTACGACAAGTAGTAATATATAAATTTTTCATATATATATTGCTGCCTTAATAAGTTAAATTTATTATTTATAAATCAAGATTCCGAACTCTCTTATCAAAATAATTTTCAAATGCACAGAAAAAATGAATTATTTTAATGGAAATTTATGTTTTTAATAGTGTTTTAAAAAGTATTAGTATCATTTCCTCATTTGTTTAAACATGTATTTCTGCTTTATAATATATGCAGCGATTTCTTTTCAGGATAATCACTTATAAGTGTAAATAAAAAGTACACTGTACTAGGCTGATAGACGTTATAACTACGAGCTAATTAGAATCTTAGTTCCATAAAATTTTAATTAAATCAATATAATATAAGTTTACTGTATTATTTAAATAGTAAATTTTATATTTTATATAAAATATTAACAAACTAATTTTTATATATTTAAATTTTATTAGAATTATATTTTATTGTAATAGTAGATTTTATTAAACTTTACAATAATCTTCATCATTACAATCTGTTATCAATCTATTATTTTTCTGCGTAGAATATTTTATTTGAAAAAATATATACTTACTTAAAAATATTTATGTTTAGTATCTATTATTCAATAAATTAACAAATTGAATAAGAATTTTTTTTAATTAAAAAATTTTTATATTTACCAGTAATTAACAGATTTTATAATTAGTATTAGATTCAGTAACTTTTAAATGCAGTAAATTTATTTGAATTTAAAACTTGAAAATAAAATGAGATTATATTTTAAATGCATCGTAACTCATATAGGATTCCATAAATATATAAAATCGTTATAATGCTTATTGTAGGATAAATAAAGATATATTGTTTTTACTATCTGAATAATTTTATAAGCAGATTTAGAACAAATATTGAAAAAAAATTAATTTTTTAAAATAATAAATACTCATTTTTGCAATTTAAATATATTTAAATATCAAAAAATATTATAGGGATATTGATATCTGAGATATGTGTGATAGTATAACATTTTGTTTTTGGTAATGGTTTTTCTATAATATTGAATATTATGTGAATGAATATATTTTTTAAATTTAATAATATAAAATTATTAACCAATTTTTATTATTATTAAAATATATTTTATTATCATTATGAAGCATATTATCTAAAGCATAAAAAGTATGTTAAAGAGAAATAAAAAATATAATTATTATTGTTTAACATTTAATGTTAACCTAAGTTTTATAATAATTAAATTAGTACTATTATAATTAAAAATAGATATAATGATTAAAAAAACTAATAAATACAAAATAATAAATAAAAAACATAATTATAAATACAATTCATATAAATAAGTTCTTAGTATATTTGCTTTTTATGAATGTAATCATGAATTCAGTATTACATTATATTATAAATATGCAGAGCCATATTGATAAAGTAAAAATATGATTATTTGTAACTATGTATTTTACATATATCATTTAATTTTGAAATAAAATTTCTAGTTTATTATTTAAAAGTTTAATAATATTTTAATAGTATATATTTTTTATATGATTAATGATAATTTTTTGTTTAGAAATATAAACAATGCATTAATATGCTAATGTAAGTCATTAAAATGTTCAAAGACTGAAAGTTTGAATATTTCATTTTTTTATAGAACTCATTTAGTAATCTTATAATAATATAATTACCATTAATATTTAATGCTACAGAAATTGAGTAATTAAACAATGATAGTGTAGTAAATTTCTATTATTTCTATAAAAAAATAGAAGCATTAAGGAAAGGCATAAAACAAGAAATTTTGTTGAAGATTCATTCATGCATTATAGGCGGATTTCAATTACTTTAAGAAAGTCCTACATTCCATAAAAAGCTCTTGTACCTTTCGTTTATTTGACGTTTTAGATTGCTGCTAGAATTTTAGTTTTAAAAAAGTTATTTTCCTTATATTTTGATATCTACTGTGCATGAAATGTAATTTAACGTTTCATTATAAATGATAAAAATTTATAAATTCCCACTACTTGCCAATTAAAAAAAAATTTTTTTGTTAATTTGCTTTTATTATAATGTAATCCTTGAAGAATAAATCATACTGTACAATGTTCCTGTATAATATAGTTAAATCTTCTTGAATGGTTTTTAAAAAATTTTATGTATAATAGAAATGTAACTTTTATATGATTTCAAAAATATTAAAACTGACCTATGATTTTAAAGAATCAAGTTTAAAGATTAATAAAATACAAATAGTTATATGTATGCAATAAGATTTAATTTTATCTTCACAGTTAATCCCAAATCCTTTATTGTATATCGTAGATGAAGTAATAAGAAAAATCTTTATGAAAATTGAGCATTTAATTTGAAGATTATTATCGATTTTTATCGATTATTATAATGCAATATAAAATAACTATAATTATATAGTGTACTATTTCTAAGATTTAAAAACATTGTAAATAAATGATGTGATATATTATATTTTTAAATGAATATATATTCATACATATATTTATGGTTTAATAAATTATATAAAAATACAACATTATATAAGCATGTACTTATATAAACGCATTTTATATCTACACTTACATTTAGACCACAGAAAATTTACGTAATTAAATATGACTATATATTATTCATCGAGAAATATATGGCATAATTAAATTTGTTAAAAACATACTAAAGGAGTTCCTAAGTTTATAAAATTTAATATGAATTAAATACTACAATATAAAATTTAAAAAGCACATAGGTTATTTTTTTAGTTGTAAACAAATTTTAGTTAGAAAAATTAACAGTGTGCTTATTATTATGAGAATTTTATCAAATTGGAACATGACAATATTCATATTTTGGTATTTAGTACATTTAATTGAGAGTATTTTATTTTTTATATATTGAATTACTTTTTAATGAAACATCAACAATTAAAAATTGTAGAAATTTATTCAACTTCATTGTACAATCATTTAGTACAATCATTTAGTACAATCACATTGTATTGTTTCAGTATTCGTTATGGAAACATTCCAAAAATAAAATTTAAAAATTTAATTGAACAAATTTTTTTAAATATTAATACAAAACATAATACATATACATAATATATAACAACATAATACATAATACATAATACATAACAATAATACATAAACATTGTATCATAATCTTGGCGCAGAAGGTCTTTAAAGCTGCCTTATTGAATTATAAATTATAATAAGTATGTTTAAATATATATCTATTTAAATATCCTTTGAATATCTTTGTATTTAAATATCTAGGTGAATATCTATTTAATATGTTTATATATCCTTTTATATGTATATATTCTTTAAACTCCTAACATAGGTGCGTGATAATATCTATACCGTAGGTTTTATTTTTGAAACCCGATCAAAGATTAAATATCATCTTACAATCTAACTTATGATGGAAACAAATATACCTCTACATAAAATGTGATTATAAAATTGATAAATTAATAAACTTATTATAAAATTAGCAAAATTATAAATTAACTATGTTAATTATTATATCTTCTATACGTTTTAATTGTAAATAAGAATTTATTAATTATGATAAGACTACAGTTTCTAAATGAAAGCGCATATTTTATTTAAATACGATATAATTGTTAAATTCAGTAACTGAAAAAAGATATTTATTTACAATCATCTCTAAGATTTCAGTCTGCTCAATATCAAAAAAACTTTATTTATTAAATATTTAAAATATTGTAAATTAAATTAAATAATTAAAGATAATAATTATTAAGAAGGCCCTAAATCTTCTTAAGTGTCGATCTAAATGAATAAAGAGTGAACTGCATACGAAAATATTCATTTTGATAATTAACAAATAAAATTAGTGAGGTATTCTTCACAGTTAATAAAAGATGTCTGGATTTGACTTAACTTTCAAAAATTATTACAAATCATTTTGTTTGTATTCTGTTAAATGACTCTTTAAAAGTTTCGAAGAAAAAAATCAAGAAAACTAAAGTTGAAAAGGAAACCAAGTAGTAGTTATAAAAAAATCGATAAACCAGATCGGCTTACTCATTAGCGCGAATGCACGAGTATTTTCGCTAATGAAGGAAACTGGTTCGTTGAAAAATACGAAAGATACCTCGTCCTCCCTGAAGTTTGTATGCAATGCTAGTATACCATAAAAGAAAAATCGATTGGTAGTTCTTGGAAAAGGTTCAACTATACTTAAATAATAAATATGTATGATCCTGCATCAATTTTCGTACTTTTCTATAATCTAATATCATTTATATTTAATTTAAAGAAAAACTTTTATCGCTTTTTTACTCGTGAAGTTTTGATTCTTTTCTCTAGTAGTTGTTTGCGTTTATAAAAGGCAGAATACAATCTTCTTCTTTATTCATGGTTAAGAGTAATTTATTTTATTTGAATTATCGAGTCATAAATAGTATTTTTCTCAAATTCAAAATATGAAAAATTCTTAAAAAATCGAAATATAAAGTTATAACATATATTAATATGACATATATTAACATTTATTCAGAATACAGGTGTTTAATTGATCAAATATAAAATTCGATTGTTTTAAAATAATTTCAATAAAAACAATTATTTTATTTTTATACTTTTATTTTAAAATATATTTAATTAGACATAATTTATTAATAATTCACTATGAATTTTCAATTTTCATTGAGACTAATAGATTTAGATATATTTATTTCTAATTGTTTACGAATCCATGATGAATTATAATATCAATAAATTAAAAGCTTTTTAAATATAGAAATATCGGTATAAATGTTTTGTTATATATATGCCATTGCACTGCTACTATTAAATATGGTTATATTATGTATGTTTATAAAATGCAACAAATGATTTTTAATATCTGCTACTGAACTAAACTTAAAACAATAATAAAAGCTTATTTATAATATAATATATTGATTATAAAGCAAAGTTTGTATCAGATAAAATTTGTTACTTTCAAGTGTATTTTCTACAAATAACAAATTCATTCAAACAGAGAAGTTATAACAGATTGTTAGAATGAAGCTTTATTACTACTTGAAATTATTCTCATCGTATTATACTTATTGATAAGAATATTTGTTTTTATTATAATATCTAATAATCATATTTTATTTAACTTGGGATCATTTTTAATGATGAAATTAAGTCTTATTCTTTAGTAGTAAATCATAAATATATAACGATTAAAATAAATGTAATTTATTTATTTATTTATAATTAATAATTATTAAAATTATATTTTTTCTTATAAGTTTTCTCTTATAAGTATTTTTTAACAAAAACACACATTTATTCATGTTTATCATGTAGTATCTGAATATAAAGGGTCGTTTCATTTTCCACATTTTTGCTCTTGTGAAGTAGTATAGTAGACATTTCTTGATCTAGTCAAAGTCTAATATATATATATATATATATATATATATATATATATATATTTCTACTAATTTTTTTACTCTTCTTTTTATTGTTTAACTTTTTTGCCTCTATTATCTTCCTCTTTTATGTCTTTCTGTAAGATCTTTTTTTTCTTATTTTCATCTTAAACATTTTTTTTCATATTTTTTCGTACAAATTTGATTAAGCATGTTTTCTTTCATTTACTGTTTAATGCTGATATGATGTTCAATCTATTTTCCACCTTTTTACCTCTTACCTCCTCTTTTTATTTTTTCTGTATCGATAGTTAGTATTTTATCATTTTTTTATGTTCACATTTTTCATCGTATTTGTTGATTTTGTCCTCTACTGATTCTTTATAGTATTAACCACACGTTGAGGAAGCAAATCTAGCTATTCATTTCTTTACTTCATATTGATCATGCCTGATGCAATTTAACAATTGGTAAATATTATAAAATTGAAAAACTTTCAAATTATGTAAAATTGATTGCATTTTCTTTTTGTATTTATTGTTTAAATCGAAAGTACCAGTAATTGTAAAAAAATCTGTGTGAATCTGTGTTTTAATATAAAATTTTCATATTAATTATGTTTCTGTTCCTTTAAAAATAAAAATAATTATATTTTCTTCTAAAATTATTTCTACAATTTGTATTATAATTAATAAAAGTATACATAAGACATAATAATATTAATCTGTTTACTTACATTATGTAGCCACTCAATGCTAGTTGGCTCAGGATTGCTCTGGTAATTACAGATGAACTTGACATCATCTCCTTCCCTCAATGTATCTAGATTGAAACCAGTCGCAAGTTCTACAAAAGCGGTTGGGGCATCTGTAATAAAAGCCAAAATTCGAACTTAATAAGTAGGAACACCTTTCTTATCGTTGGTTTCTTTTCATGATGAAATTTGTATTGCCTCTAGTATGTAAAATTACAAAACTTCCTATTGCCAAAACCGTATATGCATAAAGAAAAAAAAACGAAATCTGAAAGGAAGAAAAAGTTTTTAATTTATCATAAATGTGTCGTACTTTTCTAGCACTACCAATATCCATCTAACTCTTTCAATTGAAAGAAGAAGTAAAAATTCCTCGCATATTTTAGCTTCTCGACATTTGTATCGCATCCTGTTGTTATCATCAATTCTATTTTTTGAATTCGGTAAATATTACCATAGCGTAGTTCAGAATTAAACTGTATTCAGTCATGGTTATAATATTGTTATCGACTCCTTAGTAGAAATACTAGACATATATAGTTAAGTAATATACACATGATTCAAATTATACAGGAAGGAAGAAGAGTATAGAAAAGAAGAGAAATATGTAAACATAATAAAAAAAAGGCATGCTAGCTTTTGTGATCTAGAAAATAGAAATAGAAAGAAATGGCTATATTGACTTTTAGAGTAATTGCGAAAGTACAAACTTGTACACAGGATACTACTTAAAAAGAAATAAAAGAAGTAGCTAGATATCGAAATGTAAATAGCAAAACTCGTCTTAAATTCGATTACTTTGAAATCTTCCAAAGACCTCTATCTTTTTCTCTCTTCATTGAAATGACTCAGAGAGTTTGCTGACGCGCGCGCGCTTGCACACTCATATACACATATACACATGCTTCATCTCTCTCTCTCTCTCTCTCTCTCTTTTATTTAAAATCAAGGTTTTCTCTCATTTTCCATTTAAGTGTTCCATCTGCATTTACATACAGCACGACGAAAGTTTAACCTGCAAGTTTCAATAACTTTCTATAACATATACACTGTGCGAATTTCTCCCTGTATCGGCACGTAAAAAGCAGTTTGCAGTTCTTTGTGTTTATGTAACTTGACGGAAACTTTATCATTTCAAATTAATAAAGTTTGTATTTCAATCAAATTTAATTATCCTTTCGAAATATGTTAGAATATATATTTAATATATCAATCCAGATATAATTTTCTATTTTATTTTTTAATATTACTTGAACTAACTCCAATTAAATTTTTTAGTAATGCCAGACTGCTTTTATGAATGAAATTGATTTTTAATTCATGTTATATATTTGCGAAAATACTTACTTTAAATACGAATGCAAGTTAGAAATTAACATATTTGAATTTATATATTTGAATTCATTTTATGGTAGAAACTGAAAGTTATTAAATTTTTTTTTTAATCAATTAAATTAATTAGTCTTTTATAGATTTACAGTCTAAATTAACCTCGAATTTATAAATGCTTTGAAAATATATAATTAATTATTGATATTAATCTAATTTTTTTTTTTAATTATTTTAATTGGAACACTTTTTTATAATTTTCATTATATACAAGCTAGGTTTTGTAAATTTTTTTTTCAAATGAAAATACTAAATATGTTAATTTAATTAACGAATTATGCTGAAAAACTAAGAAAGCTAAAAAAAATTTTCTTATAGCACATGAATTTTTAATATAGTCAAACATTATTGGGATTAATCGAAGTATCAAAATATTTTCAAGATAATAATTTATGAAGTCAAAGCAATTTGATTGCATAAAGTACTACTCACAAAGAATTCGTAATATTTTGGTCTTTTCCAAAACTCCTCCAGGGAATCTCGGATTTTCTGCTCGACAAGTCAGTTCCTTTCCATCGTCGTCCTTGTCAAGGACGAGGGCCACCTTACTGCCCGTACAGTTGCTTCTTTGGGTCGTCGTCAAACTGGACTCCCTGATGATTAGGCCACCAAGTCGCCAGACAATTCGTGCCGCCGGCGAACTTCCCCAAGTCTCGCAGCGCACAGTCATCGGACGGCCCGCATAAATCTGATCTTCAGGGAAGATAACATTGACCACAGCTGGTTTTACTGAAAATTGAACGGGTTAAGTGACCCACTATGAAAATCTTTAAAGCTTTATACTCACTTTTTGCTTTTTTCGATTTTCGATACTAAGAGTCTACTCAGGTAGATAATGTATTCATTTAAAAATTTAAATATTCGGCAATCTCACTATTAACTAGTTTTGCTTTTGATGTATCATTCTTCGATAAAACCTTATATTGATAAAAAGCTTTTTACCAATAGATGATTTGCAATTAAAATTCATATTAATATTGCTATGGTTTGTTTCATTTTACAAATACAAAATTGTTTACAGTGACCCACAGTTCTAATACATTTTTCAAACAAGATATCATAATTATAGATCTAATTATCTAGTCTTTTTATACTAGTTACTATAGATTGCTTATTAAAAATTCAAAGAATTAAAGTTTACCAGAAAAAATATTAATAAACTTAATTAAAATCATTATCTGTTTTGATTTCCTATTATTACAATACACACACGCGCGCGCGCCACACACACACACACACATACGGTATAGTAGAATAAATATTCATTTTTAATTTTAATATTTTGTTATTTATTTGCTTTATAAATAATTTCATCTATTTGTTTAAGTTTTTTATAACATTATAAAAAGTAATCATATCATAATATATTGTCAAATCAATAATTCTATTCAAAATTTTTTTTTCATATGTATATAATAATTCTCATTATTTTAAATTCTGATATATAAATAATACAATATATAACAATTATATCTTATTGTTTTTGCTATAATTATTTATCATTATTAAATTGGGCACAATGTTTTCAACAAGATTTAAATTTTATTTTCTGACAATAACTTCTAGTGAAATAAATGTTTTCGAACACAAAATAGATTGCTCGATTATTTAGTAAAAAAACTTATATTTAATGAAAGCCCACTTTTATTTTTATATAAAATATTTGTTTTGAAATAATTTGAGCAAATAACTCACACTGTCTATGCAGTAACTTAAGAATAAGTTAGAATATTCTTTTACACGAAAAATGTACTTATTTTCAAGAATATTTTAGTTTTAATTTGAATTTAGTTATTATTATTTTAGCTTCATTTGATTTTTTAATATAAAATTTCAGATTAATATATGAAAAATACCAATATTAATTCTATCTCATGAATCGTATTCAAAATATTTTGCAAAATGTTTCTGTCAGATGTTTGATGAAATTGTAACCATCTTATTTATTTATAATCTATATAATTCGCAAAATATTTAGTTGCATATTATTTACTGAATTTTTCAATAATATAAAGTATTTTTATTAAATATATTATTAAATATATTAATTAAATATACATAAATTATTTATATTTAATGGGATATTTTTCACGATTATACCAATTTTTATCAATACTATGATATATAAAAATAAATATTGATAAAGTTGAACAAAATATTTTTTTATAAATTTAAAAGCATAATTAAAATAGAAATTTGAGATAACATAGTTAAATTAATTTAGTTTATATATAGTTTAGAATATAATGAATAATGACGATTTCAAATTATAATGATGTGATTAATACTAATATTTCCGTTTTCGAAATAATTTATTTTTCGTTAATATTCGATACGCCTTGACATATTTAGAATTATAATTTTAATATAAATTGTGTATAGTATACATAAAATATAAAAAAAAAATAAAAAATATTAAATTTTACGAAAACTATTAATAAAATTAAATATATATTTTAATTTTTATTGTGATATATTTTACAATAATGAAATTTAGTGTGAAGGATTTATTCTGAATTTTTCAACAAAATAAGTAATTTAAATTGTTATTATTTCATTAAAATTATTTTAAAAATTGTTAAGTTTTATATATTTTTAGAATGATCAATTTGATGATCAATAATCAATGAGATATTTACATGATGTTTTCTTAAAAATATTTTATAATTTTTAGTATAATTTTTATTAATTGTATTAATAACTTTAATTTCATGTGAAAACTGATAGAATAACATTATTAAAATATCAATATAATGAATAAATAGTAATAAAATTAAAAAAATAAAACAATTATTATATTAATTAAAGAAAATAATTTATAATAGTTGATTTAATTTTCATTGATTTGATATTACTTTTATATATTAGATTTCAAAATTATTAAATAATATATCTACATTATTCATGCTAAACATAATTTTTTAAAAATTCTAATACTAGATTTAGTAAATTAAACGACTCGTATTAATTATTATCAAATGAAAATCGTGGGATATACAAAATTGTAAAACTTATAAGACTCAAATTAGGAAATCTATGTGAATTATTGTGGACCATTTTACTTTATAATTATTTATTTATGTTTATTGGATAGATAAAGTAAAAATCCTTTTTTATATGTATTGTATTATATTTCATATAATATATATTTAATATAATTTAAAATAAATATGTAATTCGAGATTTGAAAAAATCATTTGATTATCTATTCATTACAATATGATATATATTCTAATAGTCATTTTTGATGTTTGAAATGTTATAGTTATTGTATTAAATTGTCATAAGTACATATTTATATTTAATATGTTAATTAATTTCTAGAAAGGGAACTGAAGGAAAATTGAACACGTAATTATAAAATTATTAATATGGCTTATTTAATATTTGCTTGCAACGTGTTAAAAATAAATTCATTCCCAATTTCATTTAATATAATTAAATAAGAACTAAAATCGTAAATATAAAAAGAAGTCAATCAAATTCTACTATATTTTAGTATAGACAGAAAAAGCCAAATTGAAATTCAATTTTTTTTCTGTAGTTCACAAGCGACAGGAATTTATACTGAAGTAAATCATTATTGTATACGTCCATCAGCACACTATGAAAATAACAAGCTAAAGTAGTATCACGTACTAGCAGACCGCAGCATTATTTTACTTTTTAGCATTTCTTAGAAAGACTGCTGAGAGTCAAAGAGCGCGAGGGCATTTTTAAAAGAAGTCCGCACTTACTAACTGAATTGAAACCACTAGAATTTGCCTCGCTTCCGCTGCACATAGGTCACTAGCACTCATCTATTTATAGATTCTTTCATTTTTTCTTTTATTCCTTCCTTCTTTCTTTCTTTCGCTTATATGACAAAACGATATAAGATTTACGTACGAGAACTTTTATGGTACTGAACTGTGAACTGAGAAATCCAAAATGTTTATACTTTAATAACTGTTTGAAGGACTTCTGTGATGTATATTTCTTTTTACATTTTGACGTTAAAGTGAAATAAAGACAACTTAATTTTACTTAATTAAATATTCATTTAAATTGATAATAGAAATTTAAAAATACTTATAAAAAATATAAAAATTATTCTATGATAAATATAAAATAACACATGATAGCTTTCAACATATTTTATTTAATAACAAAATATATTTTATTATATCCAATTTCTTTAACAATTAAATAAACTTTCTTGTGCAATAAATTAAATACAATACAAAACGTGTATATAATATGTAATGTAAATTTATTATGTTAAATAATTATCATGACAATAAGTAAATTAATATGATAAACAAAGATAAATGAAATGTATATCATAGTATTTAAGAATGAAGTTATGTATTTACAATGCGTAAGAAAATAATAAAAACCCATTTACGAAATAAGCATAAATGCTATGTTTGTACTTAGTAAACTATAAAGTAAAAAATCACGGAAGAGAAAGTATATTATTAATATATTAAAGAAAGTTAGAGATAAAACGAACAACTTTTATTACTTACGATAAATGTCTAATAGCACCTTTCTGACCATTATTTTGAATGCCTGCTGTATCCGTGATTCGGCTCTACACTCAAGTTTTGTGCCCGATAAAGCTCTCGTAACTTTGCCGATGAATAAACGATTTACCACGAATTTACTGGTTGCGCCGACCAAGATAGGCGTTTCCATAATGTTGTCCATTAATTCGCCCCCCTGCCACCATGTCACCATCGGCTTTGGCTTTCCTATACGCACGCATAATTGGATTTGACAATATATAAAAATTGACAAGTTTCAACGCTTTTCAAAAGGATTTTCTTTTCAATATATTCTGTATCACTAGTATTTTATTTAGCTTGAAAATATCTGTAGAAAATGAAATTGTACTCGAAAAAATACTAATAGAGATTTCCGGCATAAATAAAAGTATTAAATGATAAATAATAATTGGTACTTTCATTCAACAAAATTTAATATTTTATATATTTATTCGGTATGTTTATTATGCCTTTACTTATGTATTTATACGTATATTTTCACCTACGTAAATATATCCAAATATGTATATATCTCATTAATAAATTAAAAAATTCGGTATGGTCACTAAAGCACGATAAGCATAAGCATATTAACATGTGTATGTTAAAGAACTTTATTTTTATGTCTTTCTTTGTCTTTACTGTTCAGAAAAATTAAATAATAAGACAAAGATCTTGCAGGTATCAGGTAAGAATGGAACTAAACAAATGGTTCGAGCGCACTAGCAAACAATAAAGTGAAAGAGGCGACGTTATTTTGAAGTTCTTATATACGTTCATAACTTTTTCTCAATCTTTAAATAGTTTCAATAGTAATCTGTTTTATGTCTGTTTAACTTTCAATACAATTATTTCATATCTGTTTTTGATTCAGAATACATAATAGCTGGATATGTTATGGTCAAGTATGTACTAACACCAGAATTATAAATAAATATATATCTTAGGAAAGTAAAGGAGAAGGAAGGCCAGTAAAGAATATAAGGACAGTAAATATTTAATATTTAAATTACAAGGTACAAAACAATTAGTTTTATTTCTATTATGAAAATTCGCAACACTTTATTTAAAATAACAGTGTGAAAGATAGTGGCGACGATAGTTTACTTTTCATTAGAGCAGTTAAATTTATATGTTTAAGTTGAGTTACGTAAAAAGAGCACTTCCTAATAACCAGTTATTTGTATTCAAATGAGTTGTTGGAAGTTTTGTCTTATCTCTGAACGAGTGCGTAAAATTAGAGGACTTATTAGTCAATTAACATCTGCGAGAGACATTTTTTAAAACTGAGGAATGATTAGTTAGAGCAGAGTTGAAGTTTTCCGAACACGGTGAGTATACGAAGTCTGCGTTAATTTAATGCTACTATCGAAATGCGAGTTCATTCGTAAATTGGTAATAATTAGTGGTGCTGGCAATGTACAAAGGATATTTTGTAGTTTTCTTGTTGCTGGCTCAAGGAATAGAATTCATTCAATTTTCTTTAAATAAGTAAAAATAACTGAACCATTAGAGACAAAAATTTTTAGTATAATAGTTGTTGCTCTCTCACTAATATTAGCCTAATTTTATTTCAATAAATTTATTTTAAATATTTAAACTAGTTCATAAATGTTAAGATAAACAACAATGTTCAACTTTTATATATCTCATATGAAGTTATTCAATTTGTAATCTGTGAATATATTTGACCTTATGCACAATAATTGTGCTTAAGAATAATTTTTTAATTTATTATTAGTTATTTATAATTAATAAACGTATAGATTGAAAAATGTGTTTGAAAAGAGTATCTTATTATTCTTGGATTTAAATCATCGTAATTATTTTATAAACCAACCAATCAAAATGATAAATCTCTGTTTTAATAGTATGTTAATTTTTTGATAATAAAATTGAATATATTACTTTATTCATACAAATTTAATATATTACGTTTTTTAATAAAATTCACATTAATTTAAAAAAATTATGTTGTTAATATTACAATTTTTAAAATAAAATTGAAATTTTATTTACTTTAAAGTATAAAATCCAATAAGTATTTCATTAATTTAAACTATACTTCCAAAATATTAATAACATCCGAAATCTACATAATTTAAGTAAAATATTCTACACATAATTTACACTATTAACGCTTATATTTATAATATGCATAATATATATTTTTCTTACAATATTAAAAGACTCATTAATTTAAAAAACTTAGTAATATACTCATGCGCTAATAAAAGAAGAAAAATAAAAGATCGTTACTTACCACCAGATACTTGACAAGTTAAGAGTAGATCATATCCTTCAAGAAATGGTCCACCCACCCCTGTCACTTCTCTGCCTTGTGCATCATATATTACAGGTTTAGTCGGTGGTTCTATAAAATATATTGATGTTGTATTCTATATATCACAAAATTACGTACATGGAGATACACATTCCCATACCCACGTGCGCGCGCACGCCCGCACATACACATAAATAAATGCACATACGCATATACATATTAGTAAAATCTACTCTAAGCACCATATTATACCATATTCTGAAGTAATAAAATGAAGATACCGAAAAGCGCAAGAGAAATATATTTATATAAGATAATATATAATAAATATAATTATAGAAATCTACTTTAAATTATCTAATAACTTCAATATATACTATTATAGACTAGAAAATTATCTTGACTAAATCTAAAAAATAAAACAATGTTCTTATGACTTCGTCAGATCATCAATACTATATATTTTTTTTTTAATTATAAAAATATCAGACTTGAATATAATAATAATTGAATTAATTATACTATAATTGAATTAAATTGACCATCTGAAGAAAACCTATAAATTTTTTTATAATGCTTTAACATTTATGTTTTAATTTTCTAAATTGTTTTTCATACAAAATAAAATTTTATTAAAATAACTTTTAAACTGAAATTGTTGTTGATTAATCAAACATTCACAAATATATTTCGAAGCAATTTCAATCGGGAAATTAAAATGTACATTAAATATATGAAGCTATAAATTCAGTATATAAATTAAAAAATTATTTTTAAATGGTGGGAAAACTTCAAGAATGTCTGATTGTTCAACTTGCTGATACTTATTAAAAAAATGTTATGCTATTGTAAACTTTTATATATCATAAGTTATAATTATTAGTTGTACTTTTCAATTCATATTTTATAAGCTCATAATATATTGTAGTGATCACGATTTTGAGAATTGGAATTTCTATACTAATCTTTATTTCATAATTCGTTGAATACTCTAAATATTATTTTATTTGTTTGACAATGTTACAGCGTAAATTTGAGATATGGCAAGTTTTTTCTATTGTATGAATAATAAATATTGTGTAATGAAGTATACACATGGCTTTATAATTTAGACTCGATTTAATATTCGATTTTCCTAAAATGCAATTTTTGCTTAGTATTAAAATGAACAAAAATAGTATAAAAAATTATCTGCGAAACATTTTATACAGAAGTTCTAGAAATTATATGACGTTCAAAGCAATAACAAAAATATTTCTAGGAGAAAATACAAATTGATAAGTTAAAATTTACCTATCAGTATTAAGTTGACGCGAAAGTTGCGCGTTGGGGAGTTAGCAAAGTCTACTCGACATCGGAATATTCCCTGGTCTTCGTAAGTAACTGCTTTGATTTTCAACCGAGCCGAGCCATTTTCGTTGTCTACCTGGAAATACGTTCGATTGCCCAGACTTCCACTCATGGTCCAATGAACGGCTTTGTATAAATCTCCACCTCTGGCATCTAAGCTGTAAAAAACAAATCATACGTTATATTTGAAATTTTAATAATATCTTGTTTTTACAAATTATCATATTACTTTAATTTTTGTTTCTATTGTTTTTATGGTGCAAGGTAACTATTTCATTATTAAAAGGATTAAAAACTTTTCGAAATACCTGTCATTGTAATCTTATATTTGTACAAGTAATTTAGCTATTATAAAGTTATATTTCATATGTAAAAAAATAAAACATAAGAAAATCACCTTATTCATCAACGAAATCATCATATTTAAAATTCTTAGTTTTATATACACTTGCTTCTATAATTTAATTGTCGAATTTTATTAATTTTATTTAGTATTTTTTATTAATACTTAGTATTTTATATAGTATTTAGTAATATAATATTTAGTATTTAATATTTATTATAAATAAATATTAGTGTATTTATTTTATTTATTTAGTAATGATTGTCTGGGGTTTAAAAACATCTCTATGAATATTCTTATTATTTAAGTGAAATAAGGAATTAAATATTTAGTTACCTGACTTATTCTTATTTTAAATAAAAATAAAGTACAATAAATAATAAAATGCTAAATGTTTATAAATTATATAAAAACTGTTATAGAAAATATATAACTAATTATTTAAATAGTGATACATTTCTAGTATATTCATAATAAATATATTTAATTTCTATTTTCTTTTATTATTGAAATATATAATTCCTATTAATAATTATTTAACGAAAATAAATTTATTCGTAACGTTTGATAATTTTTTATATAATTATATTATATGTATAGATTCTATTAAATATCACAATTGAAACATTAAATTTAAATAGTTTCATCTGTTTATTGTACGAGTAAATTTAATAACTGATTTTATTTATGAAGGGAAGTTTTACAACAGACGATAACTAATCAGTTTAGTTTCATACTGTGAAGCGTATAATTTCGAATTTTTTCTATATTGATGTTCCTTATAATGCCTTATAATGCCTTAAAATGCATAATATATCCAATTAATTGCATTATCAACTGATGAAAACATTATAAAAGATTATCAACATGTACCTTAAAAAGATATGCTTAATGGATGTTCAGATGCTAAACTATTGTATGCAATAATGATTAATAATTTGTTAATAACTATTTCATAAATGATATAATTAAACATAAAAGTGTCATGTACTATAATGAAGAAATTTTTGTCTGTTATATAAATACATTTTTATGAAAGCTTACACCATATCTCTATATTTAGGTATATTATTTTAGAGTCTATATTAATATTTTGAAGTATGTACAATTTAAAAATTAATTTATTTAGAAGAAATTTAATTTAATAAAATTATTTTATTAAATATCGAGTGACTTAAAAGAATTATCATTTATTTTTAATTTTCAATAAAACAAAATAAGAAAATACATAAACATTTATTAAATATTTATATATGATGCTTAGACAGTTTATGATATTTACGTTATTTAAAATATCAATACAAGATTTTACGTTTAACTAAAGTTAACGTATGTGCAGCTTTTTCTACCTAAGGATTTGATCTTTTTATGAATATTATAATAGTAAATTATTCAGTTTTTGTTAGGTAGATACATACAATTATATTTATATAATATTTCGTTCAGAAATTTTCATATAACTTATTATAATTATTTATATTCTTTTCATATTAATTATTTTATATCATTTTGATTCATAATCATATGCATTTTTTCGATTTTTCTTACTATTAATAAGTCTATACAAATATATTTTATCATTTATGTATATAATACATACAAAATAAATAATTTTCATTATAAGAATTTAAAACGAAGTTAAAATACAAAAAATAATAAAAATATAAATAAAAATTATTTAGCCAAATATGTAGATACATAATCATTTTTTTAATTTCTAGCTAAAGTTTAAAATTAAATATATTAATACACTTAAAAAATGCAAATATTAGAAACACTTTCGACGATTGTTGAGTTATATAATTTAAAATTAAAAAATGTATATATAATGTTTAAATATTTTCATTTTACAAAATTTCTATTAAAGTTTAATCTTTAATTTTATACGTCGTTTTAATGTTAAATTTTTAGAATTTCAATATCATACAATTTTTGTTCGTACTTGTATATATTTATCTGTATGCTTGCGTATGTATTAAAATGTATTTATCTAGTCTTTTTAAATTATTTTTAAATATATAGTAACTTTTTATATTCTTATGAAAGGAAACATATTTAATGGAATTTATATACTTTAAATGTGCTCTTTTCTAATTAATTCTTCTTTTCTCTTTTTTACTGTTTACAATTTTTATTTCATTTGTTAAAATAAAATTCAAAAGTAATATTTTATTATGAATATCATATTATATTTACTTGTAAAAATAAATTACACAGTATAAAAGAAGGAAAGTATGTTTAAAAACATATACGAATGAAACTTAATGACGAAATTGTGTACAGAAATACTTTTTAAGAAGTTAACGAACAATGATTTTATATACTCCAGTTATTTTCAAATATCAAAGCAAGATTAATTATAGCGTTTTTAATACATACGCTTTTTACGAATTTGCAATGTTTACAATTTAAAATATAAAATGAAGATTATATAATTTCATTTTTTATATCATTAAAAATTATTTTTATTAAATCTTAAATAATTTTTTAAGTCTTTAATCGTAATTTAGTTAGTCTTTAACAAATCTTTAATACGCAATATTTAATATTATTAGATATTTAAACATTTGAATTTTAATTATATTTTAATAATAATTAAAAATAACCAGTTAGAATTGAAACTTTAAAATTTACTTAAATTCTCATGAATATAGAAATATAAATACAATAACCGATCGCTAAATTAAATTTTTAATGACACAATAGCAATAAAATTAATGGTATTGATATTAATCATTTTTAATATACATATGGAAAGATGATTTAGTCAAACTACCTTAATGTTAAAATCTTGATTGAAATAGATTATCACAAAATATTGTAATTTATATTTATTAGAATTCTCAATAACAAAGAGATATTTACACAATTCAATATTTGTTTTTGTTATTTTGATCTTCAAAATTTAAACTAGAAAATAGACCATTTAATTACGCAGTTTCATTTTAAGTTACAATGTATAATCTAATATTACTGCAATTTAAAAAAATTCAAAATATATTAGTAAAGGATTGTAATAGCGTGGATATAAAAGAATTAACAATTGTTGACGATTACAAAAGATGTAATACAAAACGGACAAAGAACTTGTAATTACGTGAAATTTAGTGTCATAATATTATAAAGGTGGGTCTAGCAATCGACGGTCGTCAGTCGGTAGGTACCCCCTTGAGAGCTCATAGTGGATAGAAGCTGATTGTTGGTTACTGCCAAAAAGGAGCTTCAATTCTATTTCAGTATTACATACTAGCTAAGGATACTACCAGGAAAATGGAATAGATGTCATTCGCTTTGCCCCCAATGGAACGATTGAATACAATCACCGCATTTACATTTTATATCTTACGAAAATTAAGTCTTGCATCAATGATATCCAAAAATAATTGTCAAGAATCTCATATTTTTTGGTAAAATATTTTTAAATGGCTTTTAATGCAAGTTGTTTTGATAGGTTTAAGTGGAAATGTTATTAATTTATAGATTTACATATATAAGTTACTGGACGTAAAAATAGATGAAAGAACATAAGCATGTCGATGCTTAATTTGATTCAAAATACTAGCAAAAAGTTATATCATATTAATATATTAATGAATAAGATTAAAAATAGTTTTGAAATTGATTAAAACAAATTGATTTTCAAATTTTTTGCCGAACAGTCCCGAAAGTTTCAAAATTTTGTTCCTTATTATAAAAAAGATCGCTGATTTAATTAAAAGCAATTTTAATTATATGATTTAGAAAAAATTATTAAAAATATAATATTGAATATTTCTTTATTTAAGTAAAACACATTTATAGAATATGTTCCATGATTATAATAAGAATTTGTTGTATTAATAAATGAAATGTACGTATTTGTATTATTTATTTAAAAAATTATAGCTAGTTAATTTATTGCAAATTAGTTTATTTAAATATAATTTCAATTATAATTTAAAAAGTCAATAATTAAATATTAACTAAAATATGCAGAATATAATTTATTATAAAATATCATGCGACTAAAATAATGTCTTATTGAATGTTCTGTGAGTATATATACTGACAAACGTAATTTAACGAGCTGTTCAACAAACAACTATTTCAGTTGATTTATGACTCTCCTATCGGACCAAGTATATGAAATTGTTATAAAAAAAGTAAGTGACTATTAAACAATTAAATCTGAATGAATTTCATGATAAATTTTTATTTACAACCTAAAGTCTAAGACCGTATTTTATTGAATCTTTTTTATTTTAATATTAACCTAATAATTTATAATAATGTTTTCTTTAGATTAACTATTAATTTTTATATTTTGCATTTCAATCGTTCCATCTTAACCGAAAGCGTATACTAATTTACATTTTCATCAAATACATCTTGGAGTATTTTCAATTTAAATTAAGTAAAAAAAATATAAAAAATTTTTATATATATAAAAATGTTTTTGCTGTCAATTCTAAAATAAAGAAAACTGATTTTTTTTATGTTTATTTGGGAGTTTTTGTGTTTATAAATAAATACTTTTATTATTTTCTAACAATATTGTAAATATATGTATATAACAAACTCCATTTAAGAATTTGTTGATAAGCGAACATTTGTTAAATAGTAGGTATAATTATAAAAATTTTGAAAATAGCGTATTAAATTTGATTATTCTGTGAATAAGGATATAAAAAAAAATAGAGGCCTTAATTTGTGTATATTTATGTACGATATAAAGAATTAGTAGAGGAATGGAAAAAAAGGAAAAAATATTTAGTATCAAACTTGAAAATTTTGTATGGACATACTGTCTACATTAGTATATTATATACTTATTCATATTATTTATGAACATCGTATCATGCCAGTATTTTATAAAATGTGTAGGAAAATAAAGTTATTTTAAGTAAATAAATCCACATTTAGAACATAGTAATTTTCTTTAAACTTAGTTATACTGTACTTTTTTTCATAACATCTTTCTCATAAAATCCTAAACATTATTTACGTTAACGTGTGTATTCATGAAATATTTATATGTAAACGAAATTAAATTTTAATTAATATGGCATATTTAAATACGGTAAACTAAAAATTAATAATCATTGAAAAAATTTTAAGCGATAAACTGATATGAAATTTTTTTTTTCGAATCTACATTCATCTTATTTACGTTACGAATAAGTACAAGTTAATCCAAATTTATTGGTATCAATATATTTTGTCAAAATTTGATAGTAATTTAACCACATAAACAAAAAAATATATTAATAGATATTAGCATATTTATAAAGTTTGATTACTTTATTCTACGTCTAAAAATCCTAGTATAATATTTGATTTCGAATCAATTTGTTTTTATGTTTCAGAATTCATACATTAATTTAAATTGACGTATTTTATAAAATATAGTTAAAAAAACTTTCCAAATTTGAGCTGCGAAAAATTAAGGTAAATGAAAAAAAGGGAATTGTCTTAATAAGTTAAAAATTCGCTTAGTACAGAGTGTACGACATTTTAGTATTTGAGAAATAGACTGGATTAACTTATTCGAAAAGTCAAAGGGCTTCTGTACTCATGTGAATAACACCTTCCAATGATAACTGTAGCGAACACCATGTTGTACCATTTGGGGGTTTATTATCCTTAAAAAGAAATGACCAACCTTATGCCTTTATACGATTGCATTCAATTTGAACTGTGATGATAGAAAAGTGCCTTGCAATTTATTCTTGCCGCTCTGTACAAAGGAATTGTTCGTTCGAGGACGAACGCTCGTGTGTAAATTAATAAACTAGCCGGTAAACTATTGTGGAGGCACTCGTATTCGTAATCTCACAGTTAGCTAACGAGCGTCTCTATCCTCGGGGTACCGAGAAATTTTGAGAAACAACTTCGGAATAATGCCATCTCCGACTAACTGGTATTGCCAACTTCTGTCTATTCTCCGCTTCTGACTATTTTTCTTTTTCTGCCTCGTTCATTTACACTTCTATCAGTAATTCTGTCTTTTCCATTTTCTCTCCCTCTGTCTCTTTCATTCTATATCTAATTCACTATTTTTGCATTTCTAGTCGGATTTTGTTGTAAGAGCGAACTTGTTTATCATTATCAATAAATGAAATTTTAGATCTCATTGGTCAATTGAAAAAATATCTCTAATATGAATAAGGTGTCGAATGAATATACAAGTAGGCTGAAATATTTTGCCGCTGTAAGAATTTAAGTCTAATAATTTTACAGACTTCTTCTATTTATAATATTGTTTAAAATTTAATTTATATACAATTTTAAATTTTAATTTAATAACACATATAAATGTTGAATTATATAAATTACTTATCTACGTGATAATTAAATATAAAATAAACTCAGTTACAAAATAAATGGTCAACTGGACTTACATAATTAATAATTTCTAATTTTTAATATTTTTCAGCGTTAAAAATTGAAAGAAAATTGAATACTTTATGATTTTGGAATAACATACAAGTATATAGAAATCAATTATAATTGAGAAATTGCAAAAGCATGTATATACTATTCTATACATTCAAACAATATAGGAGAATAAATGTTTTTTAGTAAAAAATCTATTTTAAGCAATACAAATAAAAGTAAAAATAAACTTTACACGAATATTTTGTATAATTAAAAAATTATAAATGCCGTAAAATGGGAAAAATGTATTGCAGTAAAAATTTGTATTCAAAATAAAAAATTGTATTGAAAATGAAAGATTGTATTAAAAATGAAATAATTGTATTGAAAATTAAAAATTGTATTGAAAATTAAAAATTGTATTGAAAATTAAAAATTGTATTTCAAATAAAAAAATTCTATTGAAATTAAGGAAATAATCAAGATATATAAAATAAATAATTATTTTTTAATTAATTGAAAAAATAAATCTTTTATCAACTAAAATGTCTGTTAAATTAATTGATGCGATGTCTTCTAACATTGTATAGTATATTTTTCTTAGAAATAACTCCCGGCAAAAACAACTAAATTAAATTTAAATGAAAAATTTTATAATAATTTTCATTCAATTTTACATAGCAGATGTACAATTAATCTTTATATTTGAAATTTTTATCTAAACACCTACATAGACGTAGTATTTATAATAATTTTCATTGATCACTTTGTAAAATTTCTTTGAAACTGAGATCTATTTTACGTACTTTTTACTTTAAATATATTAAATAAATTAAATCAAATTAATTTTGCAATAATTTTATTTTATAAAACTTCAAATATTAACAATATAATTTATTTTTCTTACTTATATAAAGGTATGCCAGCGTCATCTTTGAACCACAGAATCATGCTTACTGTATCCCTTATGTGGGTGTTTGGTGTTAGGTCACAAGGAAGCTCAACATCGTCCCCTTCAATTGCCCAAACTTGATTGATTAAACCTAATAATAATATAGCAAAAAATTAGTATATTCTTAATATTATTAATAAATAATTTAACTGTTTTAATAGTCAGATAATAATACAGGATTTGTTTTAATTGACTTAAATTTGTTAAATTTATTTTCATATTTTTTTACAATTTTGTTTTCATCTATTACAAATTATAAATGAAAATACAAATATAATAATTAATTATTCATAATTACAAATTGTAAATGAAAATAGAAATTAAAAAAAAATATTCATAAAATAGAAACCTAATCTATATTAAATTTATATTTAGAAAATAAATATATCATTTAAAATATTTTTATATAATATCAGAAATGTGATTTCGGTTTGAAATAGAATATATCTATTTCACGACAAAAAATTGTATACATATGTTATAGAAACATATTTACTAATAAAAATAATTAACACTCTTTTATATACATTTATATAATCTTGTTCAGGATTGAACCACCCAACAAAAAATAAGAATTTATTGTATCTTAAAATACGATTTCGATACATTGTATTTAGATTAAGGCGCAATTGTCCGAATAGCAAAAGAAGCTTCTCGAATTTGTCAAAGCTTACTTCCAGAGAATTCACTAAAGCCTCCAAGAATTTATAACATTAAATGTACGCAATCGTATTGAAGAAGCAACGAACGGAGAAGAAAACAGTCTTGTTGAATTACTCAAGTGAAACTAGTGTCAGTAATATCTGTGAAAGTCGGACTCGTCTGAAGGAATCCCTGCAAGGTATATTATTATTATTATTATTCAATTATTATTGCTGTACAGTTATCAATATTATTTACACTCATAATAAATCCTCGCCTATTTCTCGTGACCGGTCCTGGCCTATGTCTACCTTATCATATTTATTAATAGACCCCGGCCTAATTCTCGTTAGCAGAACGAGACCTTACCGATCATGCTACCCGGGACAAACTTTTCATGATCATTCTTTTCATTCAAACTTTTCATTCGAGGCCCAGGTCTACCGTATCAGAGAAGCCCTCCGACTTTATTCTTATCAGACCGCTAAAGAGGGCGCCGATCCTGACAGTAGACCCCTACCTAATTCTAATTAGTACTGCGAGACATTACCGGTCACGCCACAACAAATGGTTCTGATCAAACCACAAAAGAGGGCGACAACTAACTACTTTTCCTTATTCATAAAAGCAATCGTTAATTAAATTCTACCAGCTGCATTGTAATTTAAACATATAAATAAATATAAATGAAAGGGGATATTTTATTTATATACTTTCATCTTTTTTAATTAATTGTTTTAATTTCTCTTTTTATTTTGTCAACTTCACTTGTCATTTTTGTTTATTTCAATTACTCATTTTCGAACTGAATTTTACTTCTTACAACTACTCTTCTAATCTTTCCATTATCCCTCACTCCCTCCATTTTTCAATTACTTTCAGCTCTCTCTTTCTTTCGCCATCTTTATTTCTTTTATTGTTTTCCCTTTTTCATTCTAAATTTTATTTCTCATACAATTTTGGAAATTAATTAAAAAATAAACCATTTACAAAAGAAGAATTGAGTAAAATTTATAGAGTTCGAACAATAATAAAAGAAAATAAAAAATACTATACCATAATTAATAAAAATATAATACGAATTGTACTTTTTTCTATGTACTGTTTTGTTCGTGAAGATTTAACCGTTTGTAGATAAAAAAACAATACATTTAGTATTTGATAATTCATATTATGAATAACTGTATTGATTGAAATATTTTATAATTTGATTTAGATATAAAATGGTTAATAATAATGTCCAATAATAATATGGTCCAACATAACAATTACGTAAATTAGATGCAGATATTTTTGCAGTTATTTTTTAATAATATTTTGATTAGTATAAATTTAATTAAGTATTTACATGGATAATTTTTATACTGGAAAATTTTTATTATTCATAATCTATTATTGAAAATTTAATAATTAATGAAATCTTCGAAATTCAATTTTTAAATTGGATGATAAATGCTAATGCAAAAATATTAAAAATTATTGATACTTTATATGTTTATGAGATTTCAAATAAAGTGAAAGAATCTTATGATATTAACACAGAAAAGCACTGTGGTTCTAGAATTCAAAATATACAAAAAGTTAGATGCATGAAAAAGACTTTACTTTGAAATCGCTGACTATTTATTTCAAAACCTTCGTGACAAGGGTATAAGTAATAAGAAGCTTAAGTCTATATGTGAAAGACAAAACTATAATTTAATAAAAGTTCGCTGCGAGATACTGGATTTATTGGTAATATAACTCGATAGATTTTATAGTTCAGCAATCTTCTTTTCGTTTATATACAACAAAGTATCTAATAATTTTAATATATATTGTACTATTGTAAAATGTTAATATGATATTGCATATAAAAATACAAAAATCCAGTTTTAATATTTTTACACATATTAAATTTTTTTATCTATCATTATTGCAATTAAGATGTCATTTACATTCTTGTTTGTCATTATGCTTGTAGTTGTATGTATACTTGTAGTTTAGATCAAATATGTAAATTATAACTTGAAAAAGTACACGATAAAAGAAGTCGAGTTCAAATACAAAAAGGATGAATCAAGGCAATTCTGGAAAAGAATGCTATGCAGTGTGTTTCACTTCTTATTTTTCTTCGTGCGTAGACCATAGAATTTTCAAAAATAATATTAGTTCTACATTTTCTTCTCTCCTTTACACTTTTATACAATTTGCAGTTTCTTTTATAATATAGTATAATATTTTATAATGTAGCTATAATTATAATGTATTATATAATATTCTATTATTTAGCTATTATTAAAATGTATTATAAAATATATTGTAAGGTAGCTCTTTTATGAAACTTTAGATTATTTAAACAATTATTTTATACACATTTCTTATAATCTATTAAATTATATAGTATATGAAAATATAAATTATTTATCGAATCCACTTGTCTAAACCCGTAATAAAAAAACCTAACTTTTTTTATTTTTGATAAAAATGTACGAAACTATACTTATTACTTCAATACATGAATAAGTTATGATTTATATAAGCTCTATAACAAAATTTTTTAATATTATTAATATTATTAATAATACAAATAATTGTTTTTCTTATTTTTAACTCTAACATTTTATAGATGTAACATTTTTTTTAATATCATTAATGCATATATTATTTTCAAGCTATATCATTTGCAATTTTCTATATAAAGAACATAGATAATTTTTTCAAATTCCAATAATAAAGCATTTACATTATACAAGATAATTATATTCAAAATTCTAAGAAATTTTTTTTTTGTTTAAGCTTATCAAATTAATTATGATTTTTGTTTTATATTTTAATTCTTCTATATAAATTCTCATTTTATTTTTCTATGTATAGTTGAATATAAGAGTTTTAAAACTTAACACTTTTTGTTTATACTGTATTAAATATAGTGAATAAAAATTGCTATAAATACATTAAAATTTAAAATTTAATAATTAATGTTTATAATGTTTACGAACTAATTAATTTTCAAATTCTATATATATTCTACTAGATAAATTTTAATTATTTTATATTTTATATTTTATATTTCAAAATAAATAAAATATTAATATTATTAAGTAAATATATAATATAATATAAATTATAATTTTGTATTGTTTTGGCATTTCATAATAATTAACAGTAAAATTAATTTTATAGTTGCGATTCATAGTCCGTATATATATGTAATAATAAAATCTATACTACGTATAATTTATGATTTTGAATTATTATTTTTATGAAATTTCTGTTCATGATATTTTAAAGATATTAAGGTATTAAAATTAATAAAATGAACTTAATTATCAGTGTACGAGGCAGAAATTAAATAAATGTACATAGTAACAATAAATACATTAAAACTTATACTTGAGAATCTAGTATGCAATTAATTATTGCTACAAAATATATATTTGTTTTCTTACAAGAATAATAATTAATATTTTATTTATTTATAGATAAATAAAATTAATGACATTTTAAATGACCAATTTACTTTATTAATTTACATTAACATTTTTGGTGCTTTTCTAGTATTCTTGTATTTTCCTCGTATTCTTCTAGATTGATACATATGTACAAGATTGACCAAACTTCCAATTCATGAAGATCATACAAAATTTGCCGCCTATTATAACGGCGGACTATTCATTGTCCGAATTCTTGTCTTCGATTTGCTTGTAATTTGGTTTTCATGACACATGATTTTACTGATGTTTGAAATTATATCCGAGATTTTAGAGGTGTGGGGTTGGGTGTGTTGTTGGGGTGTGTCCCTATCATTGGGCCTCTGTATACATTAATGTTTCTATTATATTCTTAGTGAAAGTCACATGTAATTTCTATGGTTAACTTTAGAATTACCATTGTTGAGGAATAGAGTGAATTGGGGTTACTGGTACACAGGAATCGCGATTCATTCGAGATAGGAAAATGATAAATGGAAGGATAGGTGTAAATTAACGTTGGACAAAATTAACTTCAATCATTTAAAAATGATTTCGTCTACATACATTTCAATGGTGAATGAGATAATTGCATTTGCAGTAATAATAATTTTTGCATAAAGATATAAATTGATTTGCGAACTGATCTACAACCTTATTTTACTATATATATATATATATATATATTATTTTTTTTATTGATAGGCCTTATTATGAGTTTTTATGTGTTTCTATAAATAATTAAATAAATTGTTAATACTAAACAACAAGAATATTTATATAGAATAGCAAATGTACATAAAACTATAATAAAAATTTAAAAGTGGAGATAGTTTTGAGAAAATGAATGAAAGCTTATTAATAAAAGTTAAGCTTATTAAACATAAAAGATTAACTATGATACAGATCATAACTATAAAACCTTTTATGTCCTTTTACAGTCTAATAAGAATTAATTAGAGTCCAAAGTATTTATTTATTATAAGGACAAAGAATCTCATTATAATTTACTTTTTTATTAATGAAATTAATTATGGAAATATAATATAAATAATTATAATATTATTTAAATAAATTATTAACAAAATCGAAAGAATTTGTAAAAATATATATCATTTTAATTTAAAAATATACACAAAATTTTTGTTCAATATAAATGGAATTTTTTGTCAATACTATCCGAAAAATAAATCCGAAAAATATTATTTTATAATATATGAATATTAATCATCTTCACAATTTTGACAAATACTCAAAAAATTGTTTGCTTTTTTGAGAATTTAATGTATCTTATCTTTATTTATTCATTTTTATTTATTAAAGAATAATGACAGTTTTAATAATACAATCATGTTAATAATGTTGTAGATTTAAAACTTTTAAAATCAATAAAGTAATTTATGATTTGTATAAATGCATTGTATTTATAATAAAGACTGTATTAAATTTTAATAAAAACAAGTTCTCTATCTAATGTATTTATTTAATATATGAAAAATATAAACTGTAATTGTTGTGATCTTTGTAATGAGTTACAATAAACTTGAGTAAACAAATATTATATATTATGTAATTAAAAAAGTATCATATAATAAAAATATGTTAAACAATTATTATAAAGAATTTTCAGATTTTTTAAGTTCTATTTTTGTAGAATTTTTGAAATTTAATCAAATTGTTATAAATAAATAAAAAAAATTTTTTATAATTTTTATTCAAATTAAAAGTTGATATAATAATTATATATTTTTTTTAGATTAAAATTGCCCTGCAAAAATATCAAGAGGTTTTATAAATTTATTCCTTGCAATTAATACTTTTAATTGTATGTTTATGCACACGTTCAGAAATTCGCATTCGAGAAAATTAAGAATATAGTTCAACTATATATTATATTTATTAAATTTATCTCTAAAACGATATG